CAGTTATTGGTGTTTTACTTTTGACAAATATTTTAGTGCAACTGCAAAACACATACTTTAAGGAATACTTGTAGCCCGTGCTCTCTCAGTAAGTACTAAGAAGCAGATGTTATCATTATGGTTCCAGTATGAAACATGAAATCTAAAAGGGTCAGGATGAATGACCTGCTTTAATACCTGCTAAATATATCTTTGTACATACATAAAGGTACAGTGTGTGTACAACAAAGATAGTAATACTGCCTACCTCTTTGTGTGCTAATATGCACCAATGGAGGGCAAATAATGTGGCCAATTACTGTGGTTTAACGTGAAGGGAGGATGGTCAGAGTGACAGTGCTAAGGAAGAGAGGACATACAGTATGAATGAGTGTAGTATAGTGGTGTTGCTGTATATCTGTGTCTCCTTCTCATGAAGCCTCCCCAGCTTCGTCTTCTACAGACCAGTTTTGGGTGAAGCTCGCTGCTCCAGCAGTTTCTGGAAGTCGGTCTATTTTTTCTTTTTTTTTTCCTTTTTGCCTAAGCATGTCTCCTATAGTGAAAAGCCCCGAGTGCACCCCAGTGTCGTGCCACTGCAAAGTTGCCTGCAGTAACAGCACTTTGTCGTTAATGTGTGGATGCAAGGTAGGTCTCAGACCGGTGTCTTTGCCTCAGATGTTGTGGAGAAGAATTACTGTGACAAATGCTGGTATTTCATGCGGGCGTAGAGATGAGTATTTGTGTTGCTCTTTGTGTTGTAAAACAAATGGTATGCTCGGCTGGTTTGAAGAAATAAAAGCTTTAGGATCAAGTGAGAAATATGTATCTAAAGCAGTGTTAGTGTGTTATTTCTTTATTTTTTTTTACATGTATTTTTAAGCGTACAGTCCTCGGAGATCTGTTAATGCTTACTGGGGCTTAATGAGGGCATACTGTATTTACTACAGCTGTGATGTTTGTGCTTCTCTGGACTGTCATGCTTTATTTATCAACGACTCAAAGTCTCAATGTGCAAGGACCTCATTGAAACACTTTTTTTTGGATTAGAACCAGCACGATATAAAGAAGTCTTTCTTTTAAATCCATTTATATATAGTGCTGCTGATGAAAATACTTCTAAGTATACAATAGATGAACCACACCTCCACTCAGTTAGGTCAGTGAACCAAACTACTTTATGCTCATTATGGATTTATAATTCTAAAAGTAACATCTGTTTCAAAACGAATTCAAAATATAAAACAATTTCTTAACATTAAATGGTTCTTTTGTGTTTCAGTCATGTATTGTAGATTTATTGTATATGGAATTGTCATCTATTAAGGCTGTGTGACTTAGTGTTGGGCAATACCAGAATTTTTTATTCAATTTGATATTGATTACTTCTTTTGGTCTTTTTTTGATACCAATACTGTGTGTGTGTTTTTTATTTATTTTTTTAAAGAAATAAACCACATGACTAATACTGTCCATTAATACTTTAATATCCATTTTTTGTAACATTAGTCCAGACAAATTAATTTGCTTCTCAAAAGCCTATGTGCACTTTTTCATTTATTAGTTAGTACAGATACTTTGAGAGTAATTGATACTCAATCAATACTCATGAGAGTATCGTTATATAGATACCATGGGATTAATTGCTAGTATCGCTCCGATATCTCTAAGAATGACACTGAGATACTTGGCTAACTGTGCAACCATATTTTTTTACCATGTATTACACTCAGCTTTGTTTAGGAAGTAACCCACTCAGGTTGCATAGTATTTGTAATGATATTTTCAGCATGCTACAATGGAGAAACCACACTCCAATTATCTATTGCTGTTGTTTTACTTTGCAGCAGCATGTCCCATTAGGAAATATCTAGGACGAGTAAGAACCACTGACGTAGCTGTGGGATGGCGTTATTTACTCACGTGTGGCGACCCTTCCTCTCTGATGTTATCTACAGCTCTAACCACCATGATTATGATTAGACGGAGATTTGCGCTGACATGGCTGAAGGCAGATTCGGAGCATTTGTGCAGAAATACTGAGGAATCTCCTGCACGTTCAGTTCACTGACCTCTTTCTGTAGCTGTACAGTAACTCACTGTGGCCCCAGAGAAACTCTCTACTGTACACGGTAGAGGCCAACTATAGCAAAGAGCAGCGCCTGTGTCTTCCGCTGGCATATTATCATTAAAACCCTCCAGTTATTATGAAACAAAGTATACATTACATACCTTGACTTTTTATTTTATTTATTAATTTTTGGCTGATTATATTGGGTGACATTTACAAGACCAAAGTCATTTCTGTGATAAACTGGGATTATGATGTGGAAAAAAAAACACTCCTCGAGCAGCTGACTATTCAAAAAGAAAAGAATGCTGTAAAGCCAGACACTGTGTTCTTGTTTCTATCTTTGGTACTCCTCACCCCTCCCATTAAAGATGCTGTGGTAAGCTCTAGAGCAGCAGAAGCAGCAGGCACCTGCTTCCTCCTGCCTCCTCCTGCCTTTTTTCTGCCTTTTCCTGCCTCCTCCTTCCTCTTCCTACCTCCTTCTGCCCCCTCCTACCTCCTCCTGCCTCCTTCTGCCTGTAGCAACACCCAGTGGAAATAACATCTGTGTTCAGGAGCTGCCGCTGAAAGCAGACGCTCATGGCTGCATGCCTTATCATGTCCTCTCTAGAGAGAACAGCTGAGAACAAGAGTGTACACGGTTTCTGTGCCTCTTTGTGCACATGACAGAAACAAGTATTTAACTTGGTTTAATAAGATTTTCTCACAAGCTCATGTTGGGATTCTGTTCACCTGACGAAAAAGAAATAGCATGTGAACACGATAATTTCTTATGTAGGGGGAGAATGTGTGAAACTATCTGTGTGTCAATGCTCTTTTTTAGCATCTTTAAGATTGTAAGGCAACCTATATTTATGCTAGAAATAAATAAAAAAGGCAGTTTTTTTAATCAGGGACATTCCATTTTTATGACATTATTACAATTTGTTTCATTTTTCCCTCCGGCCTTTTATTACAGATGTTAGGCTTGAATTTCCTGGCATTTTCTCCTGCTCTACTTTTCCACCCCCTTGCCCTCATCTCTCAAACCCAAGCAAAGAAAGGAAAGGCAACCTGACGTCCAGCTGTCTATCAGTTTCAGAGACATTAAACTTCTATTTATCAGCAGCACCCACAATGAAACACACCCCTGCTGTCCATAAAAGAGAATTACAACAATGGAACCTGACTAGTCAAGATTTCCAGTGTCAGAGTTTAATGTCTGTCTTGTTTTTCTTCCTTTACTAAATGAGGAGAGAGGCTACAGGGTCATTTTGGATTGAATGCAAAATTCAAATATTTTTCTTTATAATGTAAAATGTTCAAAAATTAATTTCATTTGCATCTTCCACAATTACACAGAGGATAACTGGTGCAGAAGAGCCCAGCCCCGGGTGTGTCTTTATTTATAGTGGCCATGTTTGCTGTTGTGCCACTGGCTACGAGCGGATGCAGCTAACATTAGAATTCATCTCTAACATCAGTGCCCCCTGGGCGTCATCAGAAATAACTGTTATCACCGAGGCGTGACGATTGCGCCGTGTCTCAGAGATGCAGATAGCTGCACTTGATGCTGTAGGATCGCTTGAGTTTGAGAAGCCGCCTCTCTGTGTTCACTAATTGAACTGATCCTTTGCACTTCAAGATGTTTTACAAAAGAAAGATTCACCCAGAGATTTGGTCACATCAGCCCATATGAGTTTAACCAATAGCAAATCATTTGCTACTGTAAGCTGTATCTACATCTTCATTCATCTTTGTCAATGACCTAATGAAGTAGTTGCTGCTATGACACCAGACTCAGTAAATACTACTTGAGTATTTGGGACTTTGTTAAGTGTGTAAAGTAGTTAGTGAGGGCTGATTTTGAAAGTATTCCTGTCGTAACAAATGAAAGGACTCCCATGGTATTGACACTGAACCTGTACTGCATAAATGTGTTTTACTGGGCTTCGATGCACGGACACTTTAGCCACTGTAAAGACAACGGTGTCCTTGCAGGTGTAAACTGTCAGCAGTTTAATTCTGCTCCAGTGAGTGGTCCTGTCATTATCCGATAACAATATTACAGTTTCTCTGCTTTTATAATATTGGCTTTTATCACATTGAATTAGAAAGAAACCCCACATCATTGTTAAAATGATTTGTGTGAAAACACACTATGGTGACAACACTCTTGTCTGAAAAGACCTATTCAAATTCACATGAATAGATTTTACTCAGTTTCTATTGTTATGATTATGAGTTTCTGGTTGGTGTTATGACCAGATGACAAAACAGACTCAGTGAGTTCAGATGAGGTTCTATGTAGAATAACACCCTGATGCTCAAATCAGAGTTTCAGAGAGTATGACATTAGTATTTTATTTTTTTTATCAAAAGTTAATATGCTATATATGTACTATATATATAGTATGTTTAATATAGTATAAATATACTATATTTTTTGTATTGATATACCTATGTGTGTATCTGTATATGTATATATGTGTATATGTGTATATATATATGTACGTGCCTATATGACAATTGCATATATAATGTTTATAGAATTTAAATTTAAAGATTTCTTTCTACGTGACATGATGTTACTGACACATTATCTGACGTTTGACATTAACTTTCTGCTACCAATTAAAATGCACCAGCACAATTTATAAAAAATAAAAATTAAAACTTGTAATTTGGTTTAATAGTGAGGCTGTAATTTCTAATCAACTTTTAATGACACTGATAAATGTTGCTCATTTCAATGATTACCTCTGTACGTGCTGTAATCAACCAGAAACCGAATGTTCTGTAGAACATCACAGAACCCAACAGTCGTGTCAAGTGTCCTCCTACTGCATGTGTTCTTGTCTCAGTGTGAATGTTTACCTGGTTCGGAGATGCTAAATGACATATAGTGCATTCAGTGAATTCTGTTTTGGCGCTTGTTCCTGATGGTGACATCTGATCATGTTCGTTTCTGCAGAACAGGCCACCAGCAGTGCAGGGGTCACCCCACAACGGCCAGTCCCCACCCTGCATGAACCCTGCCTTGATGAACGCTCCCTGGGTGAGAAGGGGACAGTTGTTTTTTGTGCTCTTTTCAACGTATATTCAGTTACAAACCACTGCATACTAACATTTGTAACAGCATGACCTGTCCTTACGTGTCACACCTCACTATGGCCACCCTGACCATCTCCTGACCACATACTGAACCTACTGTGCATTTTAATGCCAACACTAAAATGACATCTTAACTAAGGAGGATCAATGTTTGTTGATGATACAGGAAAAAATGATATTTGAATCAGGCAAATTGTATCTTTTGTGGCTAATTGTTGCTAATCAATACACTGGTAAAAGGTAAGGAAAAACCATGGCAGTCAGAGACAAAAAAATTATCTTCACTTATTTGGGTGCAAATCAAGATGAAAAATACTCAAGAGTATTTATAGAACTTATTTCTGATATGAAATAGATGTTTTTTCATTTCATTTGCTCCATTGTAAGATGATTCACTCATCAATATAACAATTTCCCCAGTTTGGGGTCAATAAAGTTTTATCTAATCCAATAAATTCTAACTTTTTTACATGATGTATCTGAAGTAAAACAGTCTGTATTTGAGACAGTAACTAAACATTTCTTTAGGAGTAGTGTTGCCACTGTGTCTAACCAAGCTAATACTAAGGTAATATTATGTTAAAATATTAACTTCACCTGTGGACTGTAGTTAGTTGTGTTGATGTAGTAAATAATACTTTCTATACTTTTGGATTTATTTGTCCGTTGCATAATTGATGTTGTATGCAACTTTAAGAATAAAAACAATAAAAAAAACAGGTTGAGTAGTAGAGTAAACAGTAGTGCATTAAAACACACTAAAAATATTATTTCCATTGAAGAATATTTCATTGTTGCATATGAGAAAATTATTATTTATGCTGTACTTTATATTTTATACTTTATATTTTCAAAATAAAAGCCATTTGGTCACTTAAAACAATCAGCCAGCAACACTTCTTTGTCCTTGTCCTCGTTTGTCCTCACCTCTCATGTCTCTCTCCCTGTCCTCTCCCCATTTTCAGCAGTACCACTACCACGAAGACGACTCGCCACTAGAACAGGGATTCCCGAGGCTTACCAATGAGGTGCGCTCCCCCGAGCTGGTGCACGTGTCTGAGAAGAACCTGTCTGAGATCGAAAATGTGCACGGCTACGTGTCCCACTCCCACATCTCCCCACTCAAGGTCAGCATCAACTCTACGTTCTCTCTCACACCTGAGGGACCACCACCCTCTAATCCACATCCACATTCTGAACCACAGTCGTCTGACAGCGTGGCTTCTGCCTCCATCATGTGTCCTTTCAGCTCAACTGACCAGACTGCTAAGGACATTTGTAGTGAAAGTTTATATTACCGTGATTGATTAGTGGGTAACAACAAATCAGAAATGAGAGCAACACTAACTTTTACAGCACACATTAAAGTTGACTTTGGCTGATTAACGTGCAATTCATTTGTTTAGTGATGATTCATCTTTTCTGCCTTTGTTTTTTAAGCAGATGCACTCTTTTATTTTTATATGACCAAGGGAAAAAACACAACAACAAAACACCTTTAAAATGATGCCCTCGCTTCCTTTCTTGTCTGTGTGCCTTTGTCACGGCCATTCGTCTTTGGTGTTGTCTAAAGTGATGAAGTGACCCGGCTCTCACCTGAAGGCTCACAAAGTTCTGAATAAAGGAGGTCAATACGACAGTTGTGTTTAAGATCAGTCTATTCCACTGCCAGGTGCTGTGTGTTGTACGTGTGGGTAGTAGTTGAGCCAGCAGAGGGCGATGTTGGATGTAAAAGGTCTGCGGTGCATATTAAGCTTATGATGTTGGAAGGTCTGCGGTGCATATTAAGCTTATGACCCAGAATGGGTTCCAAACCTTTCTAAGATACAAAACAGAACATGAGGCAGAACTTTGGGTCAGAGGATAATCTATAATGACAAAGTACATGTCAGTAGGCCACGTAACTAGTATTTAACCAAACAGGAAACCTTAAATGAATTGAAATCTCATGTCTATTTACTATAAACCTATTGTTGTCTGTGTAATATCCATACTTATTTTATAGAAATGTTTGCAGTTCCACATAAAATCTATAAAAACACTCTAGTAAATAAACCTATTTTGAACTGATTTAACTATATTTGACTAAAATATAGACTAAACAAATAGATTTTTTCAAATAAAAGACCTGATCTGCTCAAAAGACTGTGGTTTTATACATTAGGAAATATCAGATCTGGACTGCAGGAAGGCCAGTCAACCACCGAGAGGCATATGCTACACTTTAGCAATCGATCGTCTGACCATAGAGCTAAAAGTGTTCTTATACTATATTTAGCTTTCCTTTTAATACATGCTCAACACACAGATAACTGTGTCAAGCAACAAAAAGCTAAAACAGTGATTCCAAACCACTGGGCTGTGGGCCACTAATGACACTAGAGATCACCAGGTGTAAAACCAGGTGAAAATTATTCAAATTCATCTAGATGTTCTGGAAAGCATTATTTATTTACTGCAAATAACTTGTGTTCGTTTGTCTCAGCACACTGAAGAATTAAATACTCTTCCACTAGGTGGCAGCAGATGGCTATGGAAACTTAAAAGAGACTAAGCTGTTAAAGTCTTTCCTCACTTCCTGCAAATGTATCAGAATAGTGTTCAACTAAACAGGCTCACAGTAAATTGTGAGTGAGTTGAAACTAGATTTGTATTTCATTATACATTACTTTTGGGACATTTTGTGGGATTTTTCTCACGTCAGACATGCAGCACTGCTCAAAAAAGGTAAGAAAATACAGGTGCAGAGAACATGAGGTTTTGTCTATCCCTGCGGCATTGCTGTTTCTGATGCAGTACCATCGAAGAACCTCAGGATGTCTTACATTCAGTCGTTTTTTCTCACAGGTGAAATAACACATTTCTTATATTAGGATTCATTTCATTGTTAGGAAGTAACAATACTTATTAGCCATGATCCTTGATGAAAACAGCTATTGTTTAGGAAACTATTAGTGTATGAAATCATGAGCTCAGCCTCAAAACCTCTGTTTTCCTAATGAGCTGGCAGTTGATATTGTAAAATTTTGCTCGTCATAGAAACTTTGATTAGACAAATTGGAACCACTGCAGTCTGGCCTGATGTTTGTGCAGCCATTGTGGCTGTAACTACATGTGACTCACCTCTGTGCTTATGCTGTGGGCTGATGACGACAGTGATGATGGTGGTGATACGCTGCCATCTACTGCTGAGAGGCCTGAGTGCTTTGCTCTCTTTGTTGAGCCATTATTGGGATCAGCTGCTGTTATGTAATCCCTTGTCTGTCGCAAGTTAACTGTTGTCACACACTGTCAAAGGTAGAATCTTTGAGGTGGTGTGTATGTGGATGTAAATGTAGCCTCACTGCAGCGGTGAACAGCTTTGTTGAACTGAAGCAGCAAATGTGCTGTTGACCACCACGGCTCTCGTCATTTTCTGGCCGACACTCAGCTCCTCTGCAGCTCGTGTCCATGCCAGGACTGAGTTGTTATATGAACTCTCCTTTTGTTTGAATTAAATTATCCCGGAGTCCCATTAAAGTGTATGAGTTCTGCTCTTGTGCAGTGAGTTTCCTGGGGAATTTGAATCCACTGCTGAAGGGGCTCCCACTCATTAACAGGATTTATGCAGGAGGCTGAAGCGTGCTGGCTCTCTGTCATCCTCATCATGTCTTAAGCCATTTGAACATTTCCTCCTACATGATGGTAACAATACTAATCCTTTTTATCCTAATGTATTAGGGCTCTTTTGTGTCTGCACCTGCGTATACTGGCTGTTGATTTTGTCTTTCATTTCTTACCTGCAGCCTGAAGTGGTTACCTGTTTTGATCTTGCATACCCGAGTGTGGCCACAACAAACTACATGGCAAGTTTTATTTTATGCTCTATTTTTTATTTTGAACCCAAGAGACCTCACTAATGGATATTTCAAAGATATGTCTATATATATATATTTTTTTTATTATTTATTATTTTTTTGTTCTGGGGTCCAAAAGAATGATGCAACATTGCATGGACATCGTGTTGGTATCGTCTTGGGTCCATTTTCTGATAAAGCAGGGTTTTTTTTCTTCTTCTTTTTTTCAGCAGACATTCATACACTATAATTCACACAACTTCATGTGTGTTTGTGAACCTTTGCTTGCCATCAATCCCATCTGCTTGCTGTGGTGTTTATGTCTCTTCAAATATATATATATATATATATATTATGATTTGTCATCTACCAATAATTGTTGTCTGCAGTATTATCAGGGACACATGTCTGACTTTTTTTTTCTGCTGTGATATAGTGAAGTATTGTATGAAGTATGTATAGAATTCATGTCATTAAATTAAATACATAATTTTGACAATTAAGGGAAAAAATAAATAAATAAAATTTCTTTTTTATGTAGCTGGCATCATACACACGTCATTTTTTTATTACTGCATAGTGACACTTCTGTGTAATGTCATGGTGCACTGGGTTGTCTTACCAAAGCCTGACTATGACTGTGTTTAATGGGTACAAAGGCAGATGGCAGAACGCGTAAAATAAGTGTGTCAGGACCGGGAGTCGTGGTCAGAAACAGGATTGTGGATTCCGTGCACAGACTTTTTTTTGTTCCCTCTCAGCCTTGGGACTTTTGAATGAAAAATCACTTTAATACAGCCGGTGTAATTGTGAAGGCAGCAGGGAGGCAAGAATTATAGTTTGTCTTTGACCTAAGGAAGTGTAACTAAGCGCAGCAGATTGGAGAGTGTGACTCAGCGTTGACATTATTGATTCCAAGTGCCGCATAGTTAATCGATGGCCGACCTCCTTTCATGGTAATACCAGCTTGTAAAACCACATGCATTTCTCTGACAGCAATTACTTCTGCGTCAATCAGATGAAGTGGAGTTTGAGAACAATAAACCGCAGTTTAATGAGCGCTGCAGCAGTTGCTGCTCAATGGGCAGCAAAGGGTCACAGAGGTCAGATTGCCAGTTTATTCACAGTCACCCCACTGCGAATATATGGTGTTTTTCTAATGCACTCACAGTAGTTTATTCTCCTTCTTCCAATCAAAACGATTGGATGCACTGATTGCCTCATGAAAATGCACAGCTTTGCTTTTCGGAATGCTCTGTGTAAATGGTGTTATGGATGACAGTGATGTCACTAATGGGGCAAAAGTGCAGCAGTGAAAATCAGGCCAACTTGGTACAAACTCACTTGCTGATGACATTTGGGTTTTAATCAGTAAATAGCTGAAGGCTTTCATTTGAGGACAACATGGGTGTTTTTTGGGTGATTGCTCTGCCCTTTGTACTGAGAGATTTGTGTTTTTGTGTTTAATACAACATGATACCACAGTGGTGGTAAAAGTTCATAATGTTTGATAAGATGTCGACCCTGGCTGCACAAAAGAACATGAAATTACATTTTATGGGTTGAACATGGGTTACTGTGGCTACGACATCACTACAGTAACGATCAGAGATGAGGCTTTTAAACACATCTTTTTACCACCTTAAAATAAAATCCAGCAATGCGTTTTTACAATATATACAATATTTCATGCCTTGCATCTGTTTACTTATATCGACGCAAACACTGTGTGTTATGAAACTGACTGCTCATAATTTACTCATAACATTTTGCTTTGTATCAAAACACATCTGTCACATCTTTTTAGCGAAGTATACATCAGGTTAAGCTTGATTTTTTTTTTTTTTTTTCAGCCTCTGGGCATTGGCTTATTAGACTGGCTGGCTGCCTCAGAAATAATAGAAGGCATTTTTGAAGGAAAAAATATAGTTGTGAAATCCTCACAAATCATTTGCTGACAAGAAAAATAATTTGGTTCAAAGACCTCTAGGGCCTTCAGTCCATCCAGTTTAAAATTTGCTATTAGCAGAGCCATGTATAATTTGTTTTTGTTTGGTTTTTATTCCAAAAAGCTGCAAACTTGCAGATATTCTCCATAGTACCTTTGTTGTGCTGTTCATATTTTGTTACATCAGGTTCACCTAACACAACAAAAAAGGAAAATTTCTAATAATTTTTATACAATTCATCATTCCTTGACCCTCTGCTGTCTCCTAAAACAATGCATCAACCTAATCCATACTTCGTATTTATGAATTCCACACAGATTCATCTGTTGCCTGCATGCATTA